CTGTGAGTGAATCAGGGCCATTTGGCAGACTCTTGTTAAAAGACCAGAGGTTGACGAAGGTTAGATCATTTTTCTGACCTGGCAGACATATGAGAATTCCTTGGGTTATGTAGGTGTATGTCTCGAAATGCACATTCCAGTGTGGGTGGTCTGTCCATTTTTCATTGCTACAGTGGAATGCATACTTGGATATCTGTCCAAATGAGGCAACATGGTACTTATAGCTGCATCCTGAGGGTGCCAAGATGGGGAATGCTCTAAAGGCAATGCTGTATGGGAAAGCATGACTGTATAGTTCAACACAAAAAGAGAATACCAGTTTGAAGAACTCTTTTATATTTAAGAGATGCATTCTGCAACCACTTACACTTTCTCTCTTTTTCCCCCAGTCTTTTTCTCACACCTTTCCCCACCACCACAGATAGGTGTCTAAATTTATTTATTTCATCAATTTATATGGCCACCTATCTGACAGATGACTGTCAGTGGCTAACAAAAGGTAAAAGCAATAAAAATATTATTAAGGTTTATCATACAGTCAATGTTCAGACAGGATTTTTTTTATCCACCTATTGAGTCCTTCCCACATCTGCACCTGGGATAGGCAGATGTTGAGGCATCGTCGCAGAATGTAAGCTGTTCCAATTAAAGCTGCTTTTTGCAATTGACTGAAGGTGATTTTGTCAATGCCAGTGGTATTCAAGTGGTGCTCCAGTTGCTTTAGGATTGCATCCAAGGTGGCTATATTATTATGGAGTAAAGACCAACAGTAGTTAAGCCCAAACAGAACAACCAATAAAAGCCTTGGAGCTTATGAAAGACTAGCAAGATAGGAGTCAACACCATCTTGGAGCACATTGCAGTAATCCACCTTGGGAGCTGACTATGGCATAAATAAACATAAGTACTACCTCCTAGTCCAGCAATGAGCACAATTCGTATGCAAAGTGAAGTTATACAGAAATTCTCCTGGCCATGACTGCCACTGATACTTCAATATTTATGAACTATGTGTCTTGGGTTTAAATGAGGCTATTACTTAATATGTCTCTAGATATTTGGCAAGCATAATTTACTTGTGTAGCCCAAGGCAATGAAAGTCCCTGATCTGTATTAATTAAGGGTGGGGAGAATTACATGCATTGATCTTTAATTAGTCAATGGAGCATAGTTTGCAGATTCTTGTTAGATATTAATAGAAGTGCGTGTTGGGAGATATGTGCAAGGGAAGAGAAAATGGATGTGTAATTGAGCTTGCCTCTGATAATTCATTTTATCACAATTCCGGCATGATACAGTTGCTGAGTCTGACTTGTACTTGCTGATTTTTTTGCTTCTCAGATCTTTTTCACCTGCATGTAAGTAACACTTGCTTTGGCTTGCTGCGCTGTTGTTTTGAATTGCAACAACAGCAACATAATCAGATGTGAGATATGATTGATATTTATGTTTTCAGAAAGCTTTTGAGTCTTTTTTAATGAGGCAGAAGAGGAAGGCTAACAGCAGAAACAAAATGAGGCTATATTTTGCATAGGTTACAGATGTTCTGAACTTGACAGAACAGTTTTTTTTAAATATGGGACATTTGTTTTGCCAGCAGCTTGGTTCTAAACAACAACAACTGAAAGCTATACACTTTTGGTAGAACTTTCCTAATTCATTACAAATATAGAGAGTTTATTCCCTGCAAAACAGGGGTGTCAAACTCGCAATGTTATGTGACGTGTCACGACATATCACAACTGTTTTTCCATTGCCGGCAATGGGATGGGTGCAGTTTCACCATGACACATCCAGCCCACCGCGGCAGTTTGACACCCCTGCTGTAAAACATTTAAGTTAGAGTCAATGAGCTGAAAAGAGTACTTTGAAAGATGATTGCTGGAAATTAATAATAATGCAATGGCAAGATTGTGGAATTCAGTTGAATCCTGTTGGCAATAAAACTGTGATGCAATTCAGGAGACATCAGTCAAAACATCCCTTCTGTTATCCTTACATTCTATCATATTGAACTTCACAAAAGGACAGAAAACCCAAGAAAACTGCTTGTTAAATTAGTTCCTTTATCTCTCATCATCTCTTCACCTCCTCCCCCCACCCCCACCATGTATATACTTGTTTCAATCTTTATCCATCAACTTCTTGTGACTTTTAAAAAACAAATCACTATGCTGGTAACATTTAGATAACAGCTTTTCCAAATTATCAGGAATGGCAAAACAACTAGTCTAGCCAATTGTTTTTCTTTAGAGCATATGAATCATTGTTCTTAATATGGCATTTCCTTTAGGGGATGTACACAAAAGAGGAAAATGCAATCTTAATAAAAAATGGATACATTCAGAGCATTCTGGTATAATTTTCTGGGTGTTGTGTGGAACAAAACATTTGTCCATTGTCCTATAACTGCACGGGACAAGCCTATAGAGTGCAATGAAAACATTAAATGAGTATTTTGTTCTCTAGTTTTTCAGCCTAGGATCACAAAAGTTGTTGAGGTGTCAGTCCATGCCAGATGTAACCTACCATCTAACTTACAGAAAAAATTCAACAAGGGAATTCCCCCCCCCCCCAAAGTAAGCTTTAAAAAATTTTCAACAGGAAAAAATGGAAGCAATAGTTAAACATTCTTTTGGAGCTTTTTCCTGCAGAAGTAACCACAAAATTTATGTCCACAGACTGCAGCAGAGTGTATTTTAACTCAGCCTATGAACAGAAAAGATTAATTCTCTCTTTGCAAAGGTCAGAGAAAGCAAGATAGTTTTTGTATTTTGCAACTAAAAACCGGTAGCATAGAAATTTATAATGGGATTTTATTGCAAGTATTAAAGGTTTAAGGATTTTAAATGTACTTTTAAAAAAAAAAAGTTAGCAATATCTGAAAGACAAAATACAACACACTTAGATACACATAGCAAATAAGGAAAATTTTGTATTATAAACTCATTAATTCTATGCTAATTATTTAAAGATTTAAAATGAAATGTAGACTAGGGCAAACCAGAGGTTTTTTTTTCCCCTTACTTCTAAAACCGTTCTTAACATATGCTTAGATGACTTTCCTTTACTGTTATCCTTACTTTCTGTCAGTAATTTCTACCTACTGATAGAAGAGGGTTGTTTTTTTTTAATGGCTAATGCACTCTTCAGAATATTTTTGAAACAGTATAGAGTTTTGTCCTGGCATTTCTACCTCAAAATTTATTGAACTTGGAATGGTTTGAGTATGCCCCATTTTTCTTTTGAAGGGAAGAGGGATTGTGGCGTTTTCCTCCTAATAGAGTTATCAAAAATTAAGCAAGTATTATCATGTGGTATTGTTTTACCCTGCTACTGTGATCAGTTTGAACATTGATAAATATGGATGATCTAATAAGTCTGCAGTTTTTCCCCCCTTTGGAGAAATGACTTTACAAATGGGCATATACAAATTCTTTTTACTTGGGCTAGTGAGAATCCACTTCAGATGAGAGGGGACACTTTCCCTAATATTTTGGAGTTCATTAACATGGGAAGTACTGTGTTTCTCTGAAAATAAGACCGTATCTTAAAAGTTCTGAATAAGCATAAAGAAAAAGATAGTGAAGCAATTTATTACTTTTCCACAAAGTCCTACAGCTGTTAAGACGGTGGCTTGTGCTTTTGAACATAGAGGAATCGCATGAGTAATCCTAAATCAGTGATGGCGAACCTTTTAGAGACCGAGTGCCCAAACTGCAACCCAAAACCCACTTATTTATCGCTGGGTGCCAGGTGGGCGTGACCCACTGGGTGGGCGTGGCTGTGGTGGTCATGGCGGACTGGGTGGGTGTGGCCAAGGTGGGCGTGGTCACCTCGATATTGCTCGTGGGGAGGGACGCCTGTGGGGGCCAGGAAAGGTTGAGGGAGATCCAGAGGGTCTCTGGAAGGTGAGGTAGTGGGCAGGAGGCTTTTCCTGCGGGGTGAGGCAAGGCAAGGCGAGGCAAGATGGGGGATGCCATTGTCACAGGGCAAGGCGAGGCAGGGGCCGGGGTGGCTGCTGCCTAACATTGTCGACCCCTGCACACAGAGGCCAACGAGCGCATGGGGGATGACAGTGTCCATCAGCAGCCACAGCCTGCCGGCCCCTCAACTGGCACACTCTGGGACTTCACAGCCCACCACCAGCAGTTCAGAGAAGCTGCCTCTGAACTGGACGGCCAGTCGACAGCTGAGGAAGCAATGCAGTGGATTGTACCCAGGAAAAGGAGAACATGCGAGGCCAGGAGGGATGGGACGGAGGGGAGGGAAACCATCTGTACTGGGATGCATCCGGCCACATGGGACCCGGCGAGTTAGTGGGCAGCTGGTTGAAGAGGGATGGTTGCCATCTCAGGGGCATGGCGCGCGTGCCCACAGAGAGGGCTCTGAGTGCCGCCTCTGGCACGCATGCCATAGGTTCGCCACCATTGTCCTAAGTACTTCTCTGTGGTTTCTAAAGATGTTGCCAGAGTAGATGGGTGCTGAACTGTAATGCAAACAGATATAGATGAGAAGACCGAGCATAATCTTCATTACTGAATTTTGCCAAATTCTGGATAGACAAAATATAAGATTATACATTCATTTCTTTAATTGGGAATATTTCCTACTTTTGATTTTGGATATAATTTGAAATCTCACTTGATTTCTTCTCCATTTCTGTAGAAAAATGTACAAATATAATCTGTACTACAGCTATGGTCCAAAATTTAAACCACATTTATGTGTGAATAAAATATAGTTAATAATAATAATAATAACAATAAAGTTGGAAGGGACCTTGGAGGTCATCGAGTCCAACCCTCTGCTCAGGCAGGAAACTCTACACCATTTCGGACAGATGGCTGTCCAGTCTGTTCTTAAAAACTTCCAGTGTTTGAGCATTCACCGCTTCTGGAGGCAGGTTGTTCCATTGGTTGATTGTTCTAACTGTCAGGAAGTTTCTCCTTAGTTCTAGGTTTTATATATATATATATATATATATTTATATTTTACAGGTAATAAGCCTTGATGGAACCATGAGAAAAACACTCATAGAAGATAAACTTCCTCATATATTTGGATTTACTTTACTTGGTGAATACATCTACTGGACAGATTGGCAGAGGCGAAGTATTGAAAGGGTTCACAAGAAATGGGCAAGTCGGGACATTATCATTGATCAGTTGCCGGACTTGATGGGTCTTAAAGCAACAAGTGTCACCAGAGCAGAGGGTAAGTGAGGGCATTGCCCAATGGTTGGACCATGCTCCAGAATAATGTTTGCAGTGAAAACAATAACGAGTTTCACGGAAGAGTCGTATAAAAGAAGTCTAACCAGTGTTAAGATTAATTAGAAAAATTGGTATCCTCTTTGCAGATTCATTGTCTGATAGGTAAAAGGATCTGAGTACTTGCAGGCCAATTGTTCTCAGTGAACTCTTTTTTATTTGATGGAGTAACTTTGAACTCATTGGTTCGTGAGAAGGAGAGTGGCAGGTCTCTTCTTCAATCAACTATGTGCTCCTGTTGGACCTGGGTTGCACCTGAATGTTATTTCAACTGCCAAGAGTATTTCTTGACAGTGATGGAGAAAAAAGGCATAACCAATAGACTCAGGGCCTTGTGTGTGAGATTTGGATATTTGTATTGAGGGGGCTCAGTTATTGGCATGATCCTCTTGCAGAATATCACTTTTTCATCATTGCAGTGTACCCTTTCTCTAAGGGACTGGGGAACTCCAAAATGGTTGGAGAAATGCTATAATGGGAATACAGCCACCTGGTGTGTTAAGGGCTTTGAATAGTGCTGATGTATTTCTATTTTTGTTTCTTTTTCATGCTACCTAGGTCATTTTATGAGGTAAACATGAATAATTTATCATGTATTCTTACAAATGAGAAATAAGTATGATTATAGGGATGCGTCAATTGGGCTACAATATATCCTCTGTGCAACACCTTCTGTTATAAAAGGCACACATTATTAGCTACCAATCCAATTATGCTGTTTTGACCAATGTTTATGTCCAGAGAAGCTTTCAGTTTAAGTATGGAGATATATAAAGAGAGCAGCCGTTAATATCCTTCATGTCTGCAGATAGAAGGATCACACTGAAAATAACTGCATCTTTTACACACATACTTAGACACCCTGGTTTTGTGTGTGTGTGAATATATAAACATGAAAGCTTGCTCCTGACTTATGTGTACGTGCATCCATTACGATTCCCTAATTGGGGCTTTAGACACATTTCTATCCCTTAATTTATCTCACTGGGTTCTCTAAGATTCACTCATGCTTTTTAACCTGTAATAATTCCTCATAGCAATGTTTAACGGTACTGACTCAGGGAACATTTTCTAGAAATGTTTATTAACTGCTATTCCCAGACAACAAGCAGCTGGGATGAGCTGAAGTCTGTGAGATAAACGACAAGTCAAAATAGTGCAAAGTATGGGAATTTATTACTCTTACATGGAAAACACTTAGACATCTCCACAGGCTTTAATTCCCAAGCGCACAAAGAAATTCATGATATTCCAAAAGTTTATTGTGCAAAGAAGGAATGTTTTATTCTTTCATTATTGTTCAATGGAACTTTGTCATATCAATTATGTTTAATTGAAATTTTGTGATTCTTTTCAATAATCTTTTCCCTTTGAAACTGCAACAATAACAGTTACGATCATAACACCAAATTATTAGCTCTATAAAGATAGATTTTCACTCAATCCCATGAAATCTTGTTGAGTTTCACACATTTTCACACTCCAAAATATGTGTAGAGATTTACCAATGCAACTAGCATCTGTTCATCATCCAGATGCTCAGTCTTTATTACAACTGCTTGACATATCTTACTGAACCATGTTTGCTGCCTATTGGAAATGTATGTAGATTTAATTTCAGAAATTGGTTTACTAGCTTTGCTGTATTTGGAATTATCATGTTGACTAGGAATCTATGACCTTTCACACAGTGGGCCAATTTGGCATTATCTCATTTAATAATTGTTAATTATACTTTTTACGCAAAATGTATAGTTGGGCTGTTGGGAAAGTTATAGGACAGTGGTTCTCAATCTTTTTAATGCCGTGACCCCTAACTGGTCGTAAGTCGAGGACTACTCAACCGGTCGTAAGTCGAGGACTACTCAACTGGTGCAGCACCATTTGCAGAATGGGACTTTTGGCAGGCTCAGCAGGGCAGAGACAGCCTGGACAATTCCTATTGGCTTTTGAAAGCCAATAGAATTAGACTCTATTCAATAGAATAAAAGGGAGTAGCACAGCTAAGGAAAAGGGGAAAAAAATGGCGGACTGCGTTGTTTGGTGACCCCCGTGAAATGGTCGTTCGACCCCAAATGGGGTCCCGACCTACAGGTTGAGAACCACTGTTATAGGAGGATCTATTTGGTTAGCTATGAATAGATCCAATTAGAAATAGAAATATACTTACTATCTAATATACTTACTATCTAAAATAGTCCTTCCACAGTATGGAAAACTGAAATTGATTATGTGATGTGTATATGCAATATATCCCCACTGTTTCTTAGTGCTGTTGGTTGGGTCTGAAGATTGTGTTGTGTAGACTCTTAATTGATAGTAACAAGCATTATGTTTCCATATTGAAAAATGCATATTAATTCAGCAAACTGTAAGATAAATGGTCAATATTGGAGATAAGGGACTGAGACTGAAATGTATTGATATTATAAGGGACATGAGGTAAATTTATAATTAAAGTGAATTTTTAACCCAGGACTTCCAAATCTTCTTTAAGACTCAAATAAATAATAAATGGAAGAAAGCTTTTAACCTAGTTTCCTTCAATTAGACAATTCTAGAAGACATGGGGAAGAATTTATCTTGAGCCATTTTCAACATAGAAGGAGCTATGCTTTAAGACCTAAAACCTGCCCTAGCCAAGCTTTTCTTTTCCTTCAGAGAATTGTTTTTCTTTTTAGGGACAAATCCATGTGCCGAGAATAATGGCGGCTGCAGCCACCTGTGCTTCTTCACACCCCAGGAGTGCAGATGTGCCTGTCCAATTGGACTGGAGTTACTTAGTGATATGAGGACCTGCATCATCCCAGAAGCTTTCCTTGTCTTCACCAGCAGGGCAGCCGTTCATAGGATTTCTCTTGGAGCCAGCAACAATGATGTTGCCATTCCTCTTACGGGTGTGAAAGAAGCTTCTGCTCTAGATTTTGATGTATCTGACAACAGAATCTACTGGACAGACATCAGTTTAAAGGTATTTATGATATTTTAACTGAAAAGTTTGCTTTATTAACCAGCTGTTCTAATGGACTCCTTCCAGAACAACATTTTGGTTTTAAATATTTTGTTGTTTAAATGTTACAAAATAAAACATATCCTTGAGGGAACCCTGTCTTGTATTATATACTTTACACTCAGCCATTAATTGTTTTGTATTCTGAAATTCCTGTCATTTTTAAAAAATGTTTTTGCAGACAATAAGCCGAGCCTTCATGAATGGAAGTGGACTTGAACATGTGATTGAGTTTGGGTTAGATTACCCTGAAGGCATGGCTGTAGATTGGATGGGAAAGAATCTCTATTGGGCAGATACTGGAACCAATAGGATCGAAGTGGCCCGGTTAGATGGGCTATTCCGGCAAGTTCTTGTGTGGAAAGATTTGGACAACCCAAGATCATTGGCTCTTGATCCATCAAAAGGGTAAGAAAAAAAAATCTCAAATCCAAATTCAATGCTTATTATTGCTTATTAGTTTGATTGCAAATGTGTTCCCCAAATTATGGAATTAAAATACAATGTCAGAGTTTATATAATTGGGACTTTTCTGTCTTGCTCTGATTTCCATTACTATTGCAATGGAGTGAGGGGATTAGGGTTCCTCTTTGTGCCTGACTTTCGACTTTGTGCCCAATGTTGGTGCAGAAGGGACCCATCACTGTGGTGTGTGTATTAAGCAGTGCAAACATGATTGATTTTCTTTCAGCCAAGACACCCAAGGTTGTAAATGCAAGGATTGGTTGCAAAGCTGTCATAACTTCAAACAGCCACTAAACAAGATAGTAAGTGAGAACCAGCTCAATAGAAAAGGACAAATAACAGCTCCTATGGGAGAAGTGGAGTTCATTCATTGTGAGTTATGTAGCCAGTGGGATCATGGCCCTGTTTCTCTTGCATAGTTCTAGAGTAGGGGTGGGCAAGTGCACTCTGCACTATGCATGTGTTCCCAAAAATACTTTTTATATATTTGGCCCTTTTTGCAACTTTGAGTTTTGGATTATTTTAAGTGTTGCAGTGGGTACAATAAACCTTAGCTTAAAGCCACCATTTTCTCACCTTAAAAGTCCTGGTATCAAAATGGGTGAGTTGTCCCCAAAACAGACTTTTTGCTCATGATACCACTCAGAATGCCACCATGGTCCCTGGGAGACCCTTACCCTCTCCCAAATCATGCACGTCCCAAGAAGTTATTAGAAGTTACCCACCTTTGTTCTAAAGCCTGTAGGAAACCATGGAGCATATACCATATATCACCATTGCTTAGCTGATAAATAGGAGTGATGATTTCCCACAATCTCCCTCCCAGCAACACCGATTTAGATTACTGGTGAGGTGTTGTAGAGTGAGAATTGTATATATGTGTTGAGATATGTGTGGCTACAGCCAAAACGTTGGCCAATCTGTGTGCCCAGTAGTCAATCCTGTATCAAACAGATATTTTTTTCCAATCATATCAGTATTTGTAATCAAAGTCATGAAAAACATGCATGTTTTGATTTTTTTGTCTGATTGCTGTACAAATAAAAATCTTGATTGATGCTATACAATACTACACTTGTATGATATAGTTGGGACCAAACTGACAACCAATATTTTATGTTGCATAAGTTCTATTCCGTATGAAACTCATAAGAATCTATTCATGTGCTGAAATGTACAAAGAGAAGTATTGTCAAAATTTCCAGAATAGTAAACGAGGAAATGTTCTTACAGTTATTTATTTCTTTATTTCAAATATCTAAAATAAATTGTTTTGAAACATAGTAGAATATCTTTTTTTCAATTTTGAGGTCTCATAAGGCAATCTGCAAGCCAAGCAATTGCTCTGATATAAATTAAATATTGAATCATTCCAATTTTTGTTTCACTCATTACAGGTATATGTACTGGACAGAGTGGGGAGGCAAACCCAAAATTGTTCGAGCATACATGGATGGAACAAATAGTATCATGCTGGTGGATAAGGTGGGACGTGCCAACGATCTTACAATTGATTACAAGGATCAAAGACTTTATTGGACTGATCTGGACACAAGCATGATTGAGTCATCCAATATGCTAGGTAATATGCCAGAATCTAGAATATAGTAGATATGATGTGGAAATAAGCCTTATTAAAAACATCATTACTTTCTTTAAGAACAAGATGTACAGAAGAAAGCTATGGGTGACATGTCATGCTGAAGAAAGATCTTTAAGTCAAAGGAACTTAAACAGATCAACTGATCACATGGGAGCACAATATAACAGCCTTTTTGTTTAAGTAGCCTCCAAAACATTGTCTTATGCAAAATTCTGAATAGGATTTCTCATATCTTGTAATTTGTTCCAAAACTTTGGAAGAGTAATTGGTCATATCATTAAATAGAAGTAACAACAAACCAAAAGTAGTTGAAAAGTTTTAGAGTCCTGGTGTCCAAATTATGAATGTGAACAATAAAATGGAAAAAAATATTTCTCTGGTATGTTTCCCATCCCTTCCTACAGAAGAGCTTACTGGATTAGGAGTTCCAACTATTGCATTGCGAAGCCACCTGAGGTCTCTTCCATTATGAATGGGATGGGATGGGATGGAGCTGGAAGGGCCTGGGAGGTCTTCTAATCCAGTCCCCCACTCAAGCAGGACAACCTATACCATTTCAGACAAGTGACTGTCCAGTCTCTTCTTAAAAACCTCCAGTGATGGAGTACCCATGATTTCTGAATGCAAGCTGTTCCACTGTTTAATTGTCCTCACTATTAGGAAGTTTCTCCTTAATTTCAGGTTGTTTCTCTCTTTGATCAGTTTCCATTGTTTCTTATCTTGCCCTCTGTTGTTTTGGATAATAATTTGACCCCCTCTTCTTTGTGGCAGTCCCTCAAATACTGGAATACTGCTATCATGTCACCCCTATTTCTTCTTTTTTTTTAGACTGGCCAAACCCAAGTCCTGCAGCTGTTCTTCATATGTTTTAATCTCCAAGCCTTTGATCATCTTAGTTGCTCTTCTCTGTACCCTCTCCAAAGTTTCAACATATTTTTTGTAGTATGGTGACCAAAATTGGTCTCACTAGGGTTTGATAAAGCGGCACTAATACTTCGCATGATCATGATTCTATGCCTCTGTTTATACAACCCAGGATTGTATTAACTTTTTTGGCTGCTGCTGCACACTTCTGGTTCATAGTCAAGTGATCATCCACTAGGAGTCCAAGATCCCTCTCACACTTGCTGTTTTTGAGCCAGGTCTCGCCTAATCTGTACTAAATGTAAAACTTTGCTTTTCTCCACATTAAAACTCATTTTGTTGGGTAGGATCCATTGTTCAAGTTTGTCAAAATCTTTTTGGATTCTGAGCTTGTCTTCTAGGGTATTGGCTATTCCTGCCAGTTTAGTGTCATCTACAAATTTGATTAATTCCTCTTCTATTCCCTCATCTAAGTCATTAATGAAGATATTAGAATTAATATCCTAAATCCCCCTATAATTAGCAACTTGCATAGGGAGGAAGAAAGGGGCTGTAATTAACAAACACTAAAACAAATATGTACCGATATATTATTTGGATCACACATGAGTGCAGATGTAGCATCTTTGTGGTGCTAAGGAGCATCTGAAAACAGTTGTATCTTTTCTTGGGTTTGTGCACTTGCTTTTCTGCAGCTGACAGAAGATACTGGGAAATGAATTGCTTAGTTGAAGGTGCTCCTAAAAGTTGCCCAGTATATACCCACCTTTTGCCCTTTAAATTCAGATTTCTGCACAGACCTAATGCATATGTGCATGTATAGGTCCTGTGTACCTACCTATCACATTATTATTTTAGATATTGTGCTGTTACAGTCAGCAGGGAATGGATATAGCCTGACTGTAGTTACATCTCATAAGCTTGTCTAGCATTCCTTTTTTTTTACTAAAAAGTATCATGAGAAGGCCTTTCACCAACAGTTCACGTTTTCTAGAAGTATAGTTATAATTTAGTTCAAACATTGGTGACAATGGTGGCAGCCATTACACGTATCATGCTAATGAACTATTTGGAAATTTGCTATATAGGCATGGGAAAATACACACTTGGTTTAAGGAATTGCATGCCCCAAAACACTGATTAGAATCAAATCTGAAGCAGTGCACAGCTCTATTTTTTTATCTTTACTGTACCATTGTATATTTCCCTTGATAAAGCTTCACAGCAGGAAATAGTACTTAACTGAGAGTTTGCTCCTATGATAGGACTTTCTGTAAGTGAAGTAAAGATAAGTCCCAAACTGTACTGTTTTATTTCTAGTTCTTTATAGAATTAAAGCTATCATCAATGATAGTTCTGTTTGTTAACTGCCATATATATTAAATTTTGAACGATATAGTAATAGTTTTTAATTGCTTTTATGATTGTTAGCCATCCATAACTGAGATGAACAGTTATAGAAAATGAATAAATGATCAAGAGAACATCCCATATTTCATTGTTTTTTATTGGTCTGGGACAATAAATAAAATTAACAAATGTATTGTGTTTGACCATGGGGGGTCTCATAATTGTCCAGGGGATTTTTTTTTCAATGTACTCTGACAGGCAGTACTACTTTATATGCTTCTTTGAAAATGTGAAAGGAATAGCAGATGGCAGAGATAGATGACCTATATTAATTGATAATTAAACATTACTAGTAAAAGTTTGAGTTAATTCATCCAACCTTTCATTTTTTGGTTACCATGGTTTGAGTGTTTGAGCTGATTAATAACATATGGGATGTTTCTTTCAGGGCAAGAGAGGGAAATAATAGCAGATGATCTACCTCACCCCTTTGGGCTAACTCAGTACAGTGACTTCATCTACTGGACAGATTGGAACCTCCACAGTATAGAAAGAGCTGACAAAACAAATGGCAGGAATCGAACACTTATTCAGAATCGTCTGGACTTTGTGATGGATATATTAGTTTTCCATTCATCGCGACAGGATGGTTTCAATGAGTGTGCGCAAAATAATGGGCACTGTGGGCAGTTGTGCCTGGCCATACCCAATGGCTATAGATGTGGCTGTGCATCACACTACACCTTGGATCCCAAGACCCGGAACTGCAGTTGTATGTATTTGACGCAGCTCTCTAAATATTTTCATTTTTCGACCATTCCCAACACGGTATTCTCTAAATAGGTTAGATTACAACTGCATTCATGGATGTGCTGGTTGAGATCATGAACGTTATAGTCCCAACACTTCCACGAAGACAACATTTTTGCATCTGTAGCCTATCTGTGTGGGAAGGACAGACAGCTGGAATGGACTGTAGTAGGAGTGATTCAGAACTATTCTTGCCAGAAGCCGAGTAGCAGCTAAAGAACATAGTGTTCTTGGGAGTGTGCACTTGCTCTTTTTCTGTTAGTTCCAGGCCTTCCTCCATCAAAACTGAGTTCTGGTTCCAGTAAGCCCAGGCTAGAATGGGAGGAATGTCAAGGATTCGTGCAACAGAACTTAAAGAGGAGAGGTTTCAAAAGGAACCGCATAGTTCGTGTTCCAGGGCATCTTTCCAGCCCATTTGTTTCTGATAACTGAAACCTGGTTGAGTAGGTTTTTTCATCCTGTAACCCTCCAGGTGAAAAGAAAGGGCTAATTCTTTTCTCCTGGCATTGAAGCAGCTTCTAGCAATTTTGTCATGTTGCTCAGTCCAGGGTTGAACTTAGTGGGTGGCAATGCAAAAGGAGTAAAAACAAATTTGAATAATTTGACCTAAATCGACATGTCCTCTTTACACACTAGATACTTATAGCTGTATAAATGGATGTCTGCATCTCTCCCAATAAATGCCTTAATTTTCATTTACACAAAAATCATTAACTTGTTTTCCACCAGAAGAGAAATTCAGATATGGGTTAACAAACAACACAAAAAATAAAACTAACAATAAAATCATTATTAAAGCAACTGGCTAAAGCTCAGCACAATTCTGGATTCAAAACAGTATTGGAAAACAAGCATAAAGAGTGATTGCCAACAGTTGTCCATTTCAGAGTTTTCCAAAAACCTGCCTTTGTGATTTAAAGTAACACCAGTTTTGCTTTGGGGAGGAGGAGGGAGAGGGAAAATTTGGTTAAAAACATTAAATGAAAAGAATTCTAAATTCATTTTTAAAGTATCTAAATTTAAACAATAAAATGATTTTAAAGGTGTAATTGATGCAAGTAATAATAGTAGGATTTAATATTGCTTGGGATAATGCTTGTCAGTAAGAGGAATACTACTTAATGTTATTATTCAACACTGAAAATAAACAGAACATTTTGCAGAAAATGTCAGCCGTATTTACTTCCTATACAGTTGGCTTGAATGCCAAGTTGACATTTGCTGAGCCTTTTCTTTTAACTGAACCCAAAGCTGGCCCAGTACTCCTTGGGTTGACTGCTGCTTCTTGCTGTCATTCTTTATGCATCTGTCCCTTCTATGCAAGCAAGCTTTGAGAGAGATGAGAGTTTCTTCTTCCTTTGCTCTCTTATAATTTGGCAACAGCTAGATTGACCCACATGAATATGACAGCAGCAATGAAGAACATAGGACATAGAATAACAAAGTTGGAAGGGACTTTGGAGGTCTTCTAGTCCAGCCCCCTGCATGAGCAGGAGACTGTATGCCATTCTGCAGTAACGGTTATCCAATTTCTTCTTGTAAATCTCCAATGATGGAGTATCCACAGTTTCTGGAGACAAGATGTTCCACTGATAAATTGCTCTCATTGTTAAGACATTTCTCCTTGGTTCAAGGCTTGATCTCTCTTTAATGTTTCAAATTCATCAAATGAGATTGGTAGAAGTAGAGAACATCCTCCCCAAGAGGGCATTTAATAAACTTGGGTCTGGCATTGCATAAATCAAAAGAGGATCCCTGGGAAAGTGAGGCAGACCAGTCTTCCAAATTAATCTTGCATCTGTTAGGCTTCCATGGATTCCTTCCTGGACTGGACTGAAGATCATGGATGCCATTTTATTCCAAGTCTGGTAATGTGAAATATATCAGACTTTTTGGCAATTCATTCTGGTGTTTTCTTTCAAGATGGGACTGGAATCATGTCATTCTGTGACCAATAATAGTAATAGCAAAAATCTGGACATGGGAAAGATTATTCTTTGATGTTTTTGCAATGGTGTATTTACTTTTCAAAAGAATTTTACCAATACTGTTATTTGGATTGTGTTCACTTTTTCTCTACTTTCAGCACCCAGTAGCTTCTTACTATTCAGTCAGAGGTCTGCAATAAGTCGGATGATACCAGATGATCAGCAGAGTCCAGACATCATTCTTCCCATCCATGGACTAAGAAATGTTAAAGCCATTGATTATGATCCTCTTGATGCATTTATCTACTGGATAGATGGACGCCAAAACATTATTAAAAGGGCAAAAGATGACGGCAGTCAGGCAAGTATTTTTATGTGTCTAAACTGATACCATACATTTTGGTAGCAACATGCTGTATCATTGGGTCCTGCAACTGGTCCTGCAGTGTCCTCCGAAAACAAGTCTTCCTTTACAGCAGGGGTCCCCAACATCCCAGTCCGTGGACCGATACCAGGCCGCAGCATGCCAACAGGTAGGCCATGCAAACAAGCGAAGCCCCATCCGTGGGATGCAGGCAGCATACAAAACTATGCACTCTCCGGTCTGTGGAAAAACTTTTCTCCACGGAACCGGTCCCTGGTGCCCAAAAGGTTGGGGACCTCTGCGTTACAAGATTTAAACTGAAATGAAGCCAAAAACAACCCACCTTGCCAACTTAGGAGTGAGAAAGAACTACTTAAAATGTTTTTTCTCCCCTGCCCTAAAACTTTTCTTGTTATGATAGAAGACTGCTAATTCCAAACTAGGACATTTCTGAAGGAGTAGAAAGAAAAAAAGGGTCTTCAATCAAACACCTATTTATACTGCCATATTTTAGCTGTTGCGGATGGAGCCCCTTTATTGTTTCTTTCTTGGCAACCTGCAGTAAACTTCTTTTTCTGTGGAAAATATTTGAATTTTCAACCTGCTTTTTCTTTCTCATACATCCAAGAATGTATTTTCAACTACTTCGTGTCCTGTAAAAATGAGAGGCAGGGGAATAGGAAAGGATTATCTGGGCTAATTTGATTATTTTTTCTGTACATTTTCTACCAGATAATGAAATCTTGTTTGTACAAAGGAGGAACCCTCTAAGTGTCAGGCCTGCTCTTTGAAGACTATTTGCTAGGCGTTAATTGCTGAATTGTTTCCCATTAGTGCTCTTCTTAGGTGCAAATTACATTGGTGACTATTTGCTACAATGCAGTCTGCTGTTCTGCAGAAGCAAAAGAGTCTCACGGTTTGAAGAATACCACCTTGCGACATTTTCAGTATCCAGATTTGCAGTGATATTGATGATTGGGATGCTTCATATTCAGTTTCTGTTAATTAGTGGTTTTGAATATTAATATTCATAATTGGGTGTTTCTCAGGTTGGTTTTTTTTCATGAAATCATGTAGAAAAAGGCATGCTTGCTGCTTGGTGACTACATGAACATCTAGCTTTCTTTACAATAATACATAAATAGCGGCTTGCTCTTGCTATCTTTACAGCCCTGGGATTTCTCTGACTCAAGCACCATTTTTTAAGAATAATTTTTATTAAAATTTACAGATACAAAAATAAAAAGTTAATACAAATCGAGAAAAATATAAAAAGAAAAAGGTACCAGAAAAAAGAGAAAAGAGAAAAAATGGTAAAAAAGAAAAGAGATATGTAAAGGAATGACTTTCCCCTTCATAAAGACAACAGGAACAACACCTTATTTTAATCAATAAACCAACTTTATATTCCTTTCCTATCCTTTTAAGTATCTTGACCTTTAATCCTTTTAAATAGGGTCCCAAAAGTTTTCTTATTTCCCCTTTGTCCTCAGAAACGTCTTTAGTAAGTTTAACATGTCATTTTTTAAAAAAGTCCAAAATAAGACAAGTTACCCAAATCACTCTTCCGATTTGTTATCTGTATGTCCCTTTTCATCATTATTATTTAATTATTAAGATATCAACTGGTGTCATATGTAAACATATTTGTTTACATGTTTTCCATATCACTCTTGTGACATGTCATTTTTAGTTCCACATTCAAATAGCTGCCAGTTCTTTTCTATCACCTCTTTTAAATCCATTGTAAAAGTAGTTTTAAAATAGTTTTAGTAGTTTCAAAGTTGAAAGTAGATGGTTTTAAAAGTAAATTGTGAATGTATTAGCTCTTGCGTTAAATGTTTCAGTTCTTTGAAACAATTTGATTGTTTCATTCCCTAAGTAGGCAGGAATTTTTTTAATACATATGCACATAAAAATAGCTACTGGTAGGTACCATTTTAGAAAGTGGAGGATTTGTTTCTCAGAAGGAATAGTTTATCTGGCAAAATACTGAGTGAAGAAAAACATAAGCTATGATTTTTTGTCTACGTCTTTGTGAATTATTGTCTTCGCTGAATTGGTCAGCTGAAATTGCAATCCTGTAAACACTTACCTAGGATTAAAAGTAATTGAGCTCAGAGGGATTGTTTTATGGAATTGCATAAAATCACATTCTTAGTTTTTTTTTCTGTAACAACTCTATTATTTGGTTTTAAATTTTCTGTATACTGAGACATCAAATAATCTTACCAATTTTGTCCTTGTTTTTCTTTCTCTTGTAGCCTTTCACAGTCATGAATATTCGCAACCAAAGCCAAAACCCAGAAAAGCAGCCACATGACCTGAGCATTGATATTTTCAGCCATACTTTGTACTGGACATGTGAAGCTACAAATACAATCAATGTCCACAGACTTAATGGGGAGCAGATTGGAGTTGTCTTACGGGGAGATCATGACAAGCCCAGGGCTATAGTTGTAAATGCAGAACGAGGGTGAGAATACTCTCAAGTTCTAAGAAGTTATATTGCACTGAATGTTGCAAAGTGCTCCATGGAGGTTGCCCACGCTACATTATAGAATATAGAAATTTATTTTGCTTGTTATTTTGGGATAATTTATAAGCCAATTTTATAGGGCTGCCTGACAGTTTCTTATTGCTAGACTACCAAGTCTGTTTTAACCTCTTTTAATTTAATAAAACAAAAGCTACTTAACAGTTCTGTGGGATTAATTGTCTGTGGAAATAATGCATTTCTTTTTATTGTTGAAACTTTCAAATGTAAAATAGGGGGAAAAAGTCTTGATAACATATCCATCCACAGAAAGGATTTTCATAATCTTGAATTCCTGGAGAAATCATAAAACTAACTAAAAATAGATAAATGAGGACAGTAATTCCATCTTTCCCCACACATCTGCCTCAGGGTGGTCCTAACCCTCCAGAGTAGTTGTGATGATATTGGGGTTATGATGGGAAGGGGAAGGAGGAGACGTCATGCATACAGACTTTTCCTTTTGGCTTTATTTAGCCAACAGTAGAATGTCCATCTGGGGAGTTTGGCTTGGGAGCAAATGGACAATATATTTCAGATATTCTTTTTCTAGCTATATATTTATTTACAAGCAAGAAAGATTCCACAAAATTTACTGGAATCTCCCTTCAGTGCAAATCAAGGTCATAGTTAATTTGCCTGAGAAGTTGAGAAAGGAAGTTCAACTTCAGAAAATACTCCTAATAGCAAAAAATATAATTATACATGATGTTTGTCTCACAGATATTAAGAATTCAATTTTTCTTATATGTTGTCAGGTACATGTATTTCACTAATATGCAAGAGCGAGCCCCAAAGATTGAGCGTGCAGCCTTGGATGGAACAGAACGAGAAGTGCTCTTCACCACTGGCTTGCTTCGACCTGTTGCACTAGTGATTGACAATAAACTTGGGAAGCTCTTTTGGGTGGATGCTGATCTCAAACGGATTGAAAGTTGTGACCTATCAGGTGTGTTGTGCTCTTTTTTTGGCATAAAATGTCCTGAGTGTCCCTCGTTATCCATTCCAGCCATTGAATCTTTTGGTGAACTGCACAAGCTAGTAACCAGTTCATTGTTCTAGGATGATCCCGTAACTGAATGCTAAATGAATTTTTCTGTAAAGCAGGGTTTCTGGTGGTGGAACTATTCTATCTATTTTCTTTGTAACTTTCCAACTTTTACTCTTCTCCTTGGTTATACTTAGTTCATTACATTTTTAGCTAACTGCTTCAAATATTATTACAGGATATGAATGTTTATAGATGGTGATAATGATGATAATTTGTTCTGATCCCAGAATAAATACTGTACCATCATCATACTCTACTATATATCCAAAGCAGGATATAATAAATCAGAAACCAGTTCAACAACAGAAATTATTGTATTATTTTGGGGGGACACTTGCTTTTGTCCTGGTGGAGCCAGCCAGTTTGTAAATTAAATAAACATACACACAATATTATACATTAATAGGGCCAGAAGGACTTTGGTAGCCAGGAATATGAATCTATGCCCAGGAGAGGAAAGTTTAATTTATTAATATAATAAAAATATGGAGTACAGTTGTACTAGAAACAGAATAACACGTTTGTATTTTTATGTCAATATAGATTTTAATAATTCTGCTAAAAGCATATTTTAAAAACAGAAAAAAGAAAGGATAAAAAGACAACAAAACAAAACCCCTAATACTGTAAAGCTCTTTTAGTATAATGAAAAGAAGAAAGATAACTAGGATAAAAGAGAATTTTAGCATTATTAAGTAGGCAATATGCATCACACATGATTCTTCAGAGTGCTACATTTTGTTTGTTCATAAATTAATATTAAAATTCTTGTGCTGCAAATAGATTGTCCATTACTGTTTCAGCGTGGAATACAAAATTGGTTATACTTTAGAGTAGTAGCTTATGTCCTACTTTTCTAGGGCATTTTCAATAACTATCAAGGGTGTAGTTGATATTTATATCCCATCTTTCTTTTAAGAATTCACAATGTTGTACAAAGCAGTTTGTCCTTCATTTCCCTCCCCCCCCCCAAGTTAAGTTTCTGGCTGAAAGTCACCCGGTGAATGTAGAGGTTAAATAGAACTTTACCACTTTACCCACTACCGTCCCCGGCTCTTTTACTTTCTTTAATTACCATTTACTATAATTTAATATGAAGTATATCATACGAGGGGACAACAGATTTTGTCTGAACCTCCTCTCCCCTCTCAGATTAGAAAACTTCATCACTTCTCCAAATCATGTGAAGCCAGAAGCCAGGGGCTTCGAGAACAAATGCCCATTTGCTGCAGAATGGCCCTTATGACAACAATCGTCTATCATGAAACGGAAACATTTTTTTTTATATATATAAGGGAAAAGAAGGCAAAATGTTCGTGTTTTACCTTAAGCTAACCATTATGGAGGAGAGCCGTTTTCAGGTTATCCCTGAACAGATCAATAAAACTGTCAGATTAATTTTAGCTACCACTAATATAAATTCCATCAGGGGTGGCTGGGCTGTGAGGACTTTTAACGTAAGTGAAAAATAGGACTTGATGTCAAACTTCATTTCTTACTCCTTTACAAAATCTTCCACCTTCCTTTTCTTAGTGATTGGTAAAAGATTAGATGGAGGGCGCGATCAAAGAAACTGTAGGATTGGCACTACTCTCCTATAGATACCCACCGACAATGTGGTCAGCACACTGACTCCTGGTAATAATGATTCTCTGTTAGGCAGAGAAGATGTAAGATTCTTGGAGATCTTCTAGCCCAGCCCCCTGGACAAGCAGGAGACCCTATACCATTTCACACAGGTGGCTGTCTAATCTTCTTAAAAACCTCTAGTGATGAAGCACCTACTACTTCTGAAGACAACATATAAAGTAGCCACATGAGATGTTGCTATACATGGGAAACAGTATGTTGAAATTGGGCCTTACTCTCTGTTTGGTTTGCAAAATCTGCTGTAACTTTTCAGTAACATAAACCATTGCAGTTTATATTTTAGGAAATAAAAAAAGTGACTGATTATCTTTTTTTTGTTGTTGTTGTTGTTCAAAATGAGCCGAGGACCCAGCTACAATAAGGCATGTAATACTGAAGATGGGCTTCTTTAGCCTTTCAGTTGACAAATGGAAAGAACTTTATTTCATGTGTATGTTTAAATGAATTGAGCTAATTCTGTTCTCTAGCTTAATATATGTTAGAATATACCGTACTAGTCCTTTTTCTAAACGTTATTATTCACTTCTGTTTTGAATGCTACGTGAAATGTAATTATTAAGAAAAATTGTTCATAAAATATTTCTCTTATGAGACATTGAATATAATTTTGCCTGAAAATCACTTGTATAGGAGAAGCTACATAACTTTAATATATTCTTGTCTTTCTGGATTAGATGAAACTGGTTGTACTTATTTTCTCATTGGTCATTTAATGAGTGTTCCAATCTGTTTTAATATTCATTTTACTCATGTAAGGGCTATTGAATATAGAACAAAAATCAAAATACTATTTTTTGCCCAGTAACTATCTAGTAGCTGTAGTAATTTTTAAGAATCATTATTACTTTTTTTTGAAACCTTCCTTTTTTTTAAAAAAAAAAAAAAGGAAAGAAAGCCTATATTGACAAAAGTTGTATTATTCTCTCAGGGGCTAACCGGGTCACATTACAAGATTCCAACATTCTCCAGCCAATGGGTTTGACAGTTCTGGGAAATCATCTCTACTGGATTGATCGGCAGCAACAGATGATAGAAAGAGTGGAGAAAACTAATGGATATAAGAGGACCAGAATACAAGGTCGAATTGCTCACCTAACTGGTATCCATGCCATTGAAGATATTGATATGGAGGAATTCTGTAAGTTTATTATAATACTAAATTTTCTCCCATATCCTGTTATATTACCTTTTTTATTCTCAGCTTGGTGTCCAGATTCATGAGTTGGTTCTAATAGGAATTTAAACTCTGAAGGACAATTTTTACTTGAGTCTACTCTAAAAAAGAGTTTGGCATTGAATACTCTGAGATCTAGGATCAAGTGGGAATCTGAATTTTGAAAAGCTTAATCCAAATCCAGATCCTTATCATTATACCACATTGTTTACCTCATGTACTGGTGAAGATCTTGCAATAAAACAAACCACTATTCACATTGTGAATCTAACAATGTACTTCATCTGGCTGAGGCATTCTAATTCACTGTTTTTCAAAAGTGAGTAGAAATCAAGAAATAGCCATGTCTATTGGAAAAACAAATGAGTTTCATATGTCAAATGTTAGTTAGTAAACCAAACTCCTTTGGTTTACAATTCTTGATTTGATAATGACCACTGCCATATGGTCAGTGATCATTATACTTCATGGCCGAATAACAATGCTGAATGTTTATTCCAGAACATTCTCTTTTTTTTTCTTTTTAATTAGAATCAACTGATTTGGCAATTCCAAGACTGATTCTGGTTTTGGAAATGATCATTCCATAATAGAAAATGAGTCATGATTTCAACTATGATCCAGCTCTAAAATAAATACAATCACCACTTCCTCTCCTCATTTACTATTTACTTATTTTTGTTTATTAGGCTGTCTACCTATTTTTTATCTTAATGCAATAGATTAAAAGTTACATATAACACCAAATTAACAAAACTACATAGATCTGACATTCTTCATCAAAAAGACAGAAAAGAAACAAGTCTAAGAAAGGCGTGTATACATATCTCATAACTGGAATTTTCAAAGGATTTGAACAGATTGCTCAACAGTCTTCATCCTTGCACCTGAATCCACCCACTTGACAAATCATATATATATATATTAGTAATACTTCATAGCAGGTCAGCTGTAAATTTGTCCTTGCAGTATTGTGTAATGAAAACGATCCCCACTATGAAGTCCTTCTGGAAGATTGTTAACCCTTAGATCTTCCAGAAAGCCTTTGTTGATAGTTAACCTTTTTGGTATTTGTACACAGAATTGCTGTGATTGTATTTACAGTAATGTTATCATTGCTACTGTGGCTGCTTACTTTCACTCTAGATATTTTAAATATCTTATTACATTATATATTTTAATTATTATTGCTGTGGATGTTTTAACTATAGATTAGTCACTGCCATAAGCATTTTAAATGTTGTATTTGCCATTGTTTTATAATAGATTTTTATAAGCAACCATGAGCCTACGTGAGTCACCAACATATAAATCCAGTAAATGAATAAATAAATTTTCAGTTGTACTCTGTGTACAAAAAATTGCACTGACGATCCTGTAGATTTCAGTCCCCAAAGTGGCAACAGTAGGACATGTCCAGATCATGTGAGATAATATTCCAATTTCTGATTTTCATCTCCAGTTTCGAGGTGATTGTGCAGGCCTCTTAAAACATAAATCAGCTTTGAATGAAATTCATCTTAAATGGAGATTATTTTATCCCATGTATTTTCTTTTGACTGAGATCTAGTAGAATGTTCAACAACTTTTTAAATTAAAGTTAAACTAAAATTTAAATCCCAACTTTAGCTAACAGTTCATCGGAGCAAAGTTCTCTAATTTTGGAGATGGTCCAAATGTATCTAGAGTGGACTGTATTATCTCAGAATTCATGCTTCATCCACAGAAAAAAATACATTTAGCAAAAAATCTACTCTTTGCATGAATGAAGGTATCATTCATAGAAGGAGTGGTTTTTCAGGATAGGCTAAGGCTTTTTTGTTGTTCTCATTCAGCAGAACTTTTATCTAGAAATCATCTTGTTAAATGTTTCAAAGGGATCAAAAAAACCTTGCTCCCCACAGCCTTCCTAAGCACTTTCCATCACTGCTTTGTAAGCCCAAAATACTAGAAAACTCCACTAACAAGCACCTTCAGCCCTGGGTGAAATATCTTCTGATTTTGTTGGAAACTTGATTTTTGTTTGCTTTTGGTAGTTGCTTCTCATGATATGAAATCTCCCTACATGTGTGGGCTACTCTTTCTAAAAGAAATTGGCTGTTACATGATGAAACTTTCTCATTCATTATTTCTTTATCTATTGCCCACAATCATTACGTTATGTATCAGAAAATACAATAAGAAAGTTAACCCTTTGTCTTTTAATGATCAAGCAGGAGGCAGTGTGCACATTTTGTTGAGCATCACACACAAAAAATCGTTCAAAGGGGACATGTGTTGAAAAACGTTGACCTTTTCTTGTTTATTAAAAGTCAGTTGCTGATTGTTCTAATGCCACCATGAGTTTATACGTTAAACTCTGATGTTTCCCTAAGTTTTTCGTCTGAATGAACAAGTAGGGAAAAAATTGTTATGTTTTTCCTCTTAAAATTTCCCATGCTTGCTGGGAGCCAAGAACGCACCTGTCTTTTGATCTCAGGTAATATTGAGCCGAGTTCTAGAAGGGATACTAGTTCAGCTTGTATCCTGTGCAGCTTGAATTTTATGCATAGTTATTTAGAAGAAAATCGCACAGTCTTCAGAGAACGTAGAAAAGGCATTCATCTTTTCCTTTGTTGATAAAACTCATTCTTCACCAAAGAAAACAGGCAGCTTATATATCAATTAAGTAAATTAAACTAGGTCTCAAACGGCTACTCTTTCATGCATATTGGCAGCATTTAATTATTACCATTTGTAAAGTGTATAGAATATATTTAATATATTCAGACAGAAAATGATGTCCCTCCCTATTCCCCATGTCTAAATGCCACAATTCAAAAGGAAAAAGGAGAACAGAGGAAACAAATAGTTCTTAAAGTTATTACTAATTACCAGTTTGAGTGGAAACAGATAGTTTAGAGAGGGAAGGGTGTGAAGCTAATTTTAAGTGAATGCCTCAGCCAAGCTAATAAGGGTGCACTCTCATTTCTTTCTTTGTTTTAGTGAGATGGAGTCTCAGTTGATCAATATCCTAGAGGTGTTGACTGAGAACGCCTCTAATCTCTTAAAGCAGTGCTTTGGGTTTTTTTTTGTCTTCTTTTTACCATGCCCTATTGCTGCCTTTATATCTCCTCCCGCACCTGCCTTTCTCTAAGAGTTTAAATGTGATATAGCAATTTGGTGCAGTGATGAAATGTCTGCAGAGATACTTGGAATTTTCAAACTGTTACTTAAGTAGTAATAGATTTAGGAAATTTCCCCCCTATTCTATAAACAATTGCTATCCTCCTTTTTCTCTACATGAAGCAACCCACCCGTGTTCTCGAGATAATGGGAAATGTTCACACCTCTGTATAGCAAAAGGAGATGGAACTCCAAGGTGTTCCTGCCCTGTTCATTTGGTACTTCTGCAGGACCTCTTAACGTGTGGAGGTAAGTAACCTTAAGCAAAAGCTTTCCTTTCAGGAAAGATCGGCAAGCATTTAAGCTTCTCAGGGCAGATATATTTGCATTTCATGGCTCTAGAACAGTTTTCCTCAGCTACTGCTTCCTAGATGTAGCAGACAATGTGAGAATTATTTGAGTTAAACTCAGAAAGATCTGCAGGGCCCCATTTTGTGGGAAGCCTTCACATTGTTTGACCGGTTCATGCACTCAACCCTTTGTCATTGACAGGCCATATTTGCACCCAAATGAGATTATGAGAACAACTTAAATTCAGCAGATAAATTTGACTACCATCTTTACATACATAGTAATCTTTCTGTAACTGTGATAGTATATTAACAAGACCTATATAATATATGTACTATAGTGGACAGGGAGTGTTATAAAAGTCATAGTGAGTTTAATGTACACTAACTAAAGCACAGGAATGCAGTGCATTTTACTGTTTTCATAACTATGCTGGTTGTTCCCACCAAAAATTGTGTTGTGATTCTTTATTATCATGAGGAAATGCTGTAAGCAAATGTCGCTGTAGTGATGTCTAATTCAAAATTGTTTCTTAGGCTCTTTTATTTCAGTGAAATAGAATAGAAAGTCAATGGAAAAAGATAACAGCAAGAGGCATTTTTATTTGTTTCCCCTTAAAACAAGTATAATCTAAAACTATTCCATCCAGAACAGACTGCGCCCAACCTCATATTAGATTGTCTGCTGAGCAGCAGAACCTCTGTTTTGTCTGGACTGAATCCCAGTTTCTTACTCCATATTGAGGACCTGCTCATAATCACCCTTGAGTTGTAAACAAGCGATGGATTTTATTAATCTAATGATCAAATTCAAACCATGAACCCTTGAGTGATCTCATCAATACATCATGTAGATATTTCGAAACAGAGTTCATACGGAGAGATTCTGTATGCAATAGTGCCTTTGAACTTCTTCAAAGTGATGCAACTAGTCAAACATTCCAGGAAATGCTGTGATTGGAGTACTAAATACTACTGAGAGCAGCCCTATTTTGTAAATGACATCTACCCTGAGTATATCTTTTACCTGTTCTCTTTCCTTTGTCACTTTCCTTTGAGGATTTAAATAAAATAAACTATATAAGGGTATCTTTGTTATTCCTCGGTTTCATTCAAAATTGTGGATAACAAAACCACAGAAAAGAAGACTTTATAAAAGTATGCAGTGCCCCATCCATCATTTAAAACATGCATAATATGCACAAAAAGATCCACACAGAAGTGCTCTGAATTAATATTACCCCACCTTGGTGAAAGTGGTGAAATTAAATCCTTGTAGAATGATGTTGTATTGAAAATATTTTTTTTCTTATTAGCTAATAAATCCTTAGAAAAAAGGCGCAAAATTTTGTTCAGTGATGATTATTTTAAGGAAACTTTGGATATAAATAAGATCTTGTTATTCATATCAGAAATCAATTAACTAGACAGATTAATTGTAACTGAAATTACAATTAATTTCAGTTAATTGTAATTTGTTCTATAAGAATTTTGTTCTATCGAATAACATTTGATTGTTATTATCAACTTACTTTTTTCAAACACTTTTTTTTTAAAGTAGCTGTCACGTGCATTTTAACTTTGAATGGCAAGCTTCTTCATGAAAGGCAGATTTCTATACAGGGACTTGAAGGAAAAGCTAGTTTACTTTTATGTAAATACAGCTCTTCTTAGTTATCATTTCAATTATTGCAGTTATCTAATTACAGTGTTTCACGTTAATTACTTATTTGTAATTTAGACTTGGTGTATGATATATGTGATGCTTACTTTTTAGGCATTGAATTTGCTCCTTTTGGAACTACTTTTCCAGACTAAATTGCAGGATGAAATTTGATGTCTCTTTGAGACTGACAACATTTCCAAACATAGCCCCCAAATAACAGATTGCAGATTTTCAATCCATTTACGGGATTCTGCATATTTCATGTCTTATTTGTAAAGGTGGTAGAGTTGCCTTGGGCAGAGTGATTGTTCAGACTGATTGAAATAAATGTCATAATGTTACAGGATCTATTACAAGGGCCTTAAAAAAAATAAAACAGCACATTCTTTGTTGTAAATTATTTAATATTTTGAAGAATTTCATGCAGTTCTTAAAAAAAATCCCGTTCAGAGCCACCAACTTGTTCCCCGGATCAGTTCACATGTGCAACTGGTGAAATTGATTGCATTCCCATGGCATGGCGTTGTGATGGCTTTTCAGAATGTGACGATCAGAGTGATGAAGAAAACTGCCCCATCTGCTCAGCAACCCAGTTTCAATGTGAGAAGGGGCAGTGCATCGACGCACATTTGAGGTGTAATGGAGAAGTTGATTGCCAAGATAAATCTGACGAATCTTATTGTGAAAGTAAGAACTGTATACTTTATCTTATGCTAGACACATACACATTGTTAGATTCAGCAACAAGGGAAAGCAAATGGAACTATGCTTATACATACACCCCTATAGATCTCAGCCTAGTCAAACAGGAGAGGTGGGAGAAGCTCTGATTCAATGCTTGGAGACTGTCAGGGCCTGTATGAGAAGGGACAGTCTTAAAATGATACCCTCCAAGACAAATTAGCTTTTCAAGGTCAGATGATGTTCACTGTGAATGGAGCTACACTCCCCTCTTCAGAGATGGTTTGGAACCTGGGGGCTGGCAGCTGTGACTAAGAGGGTTTTTGTTTAATTCTATCTTGTGCTCCAATTGGTCTTTATTGTGGGGCCCTCCTTATAGTTACTTTACATGGTGCTGCCTTGGAAAGCATTTGGAAGCTATAAATGATAAAAAATGCAGAATCCTAAGAAGTGATAGGATGGGTACATCCCAATATTCTTGGGTGGTTCGACTGCTTTAGGACTTGTATTGGTTGCTGGTTGGCATCTGGATGCAATTCCAAGATTCTGGTTGTCATTTTTAAAGCCCTACATTATCTGAGCACCTGTCTTTTCCCACATTCATCTGCTGTCCATTAAGATCAAAAAAGGGCTGGTCCTCCAGATTCTGTCCTATATAGGGATGCTACTGGATCAGACCTCAGAAGCCAGCATTTTCTATCAGCTTTTCCAGACTTTGGCATGCCTTCCCTATGGAGATCTTCCCTCCTGATTTTCAGGAGAGCAATTATGACTGTTTCCCCCACAAGTGCAAGTAGAGAATTTGAATTGTCTTGTACATTTTCTTCAGTGTATAATTTTGATCATTTATTTTATGGTGAATGGTTAATAAATCAAATGGGCTTTTTTGTTGCTGCTGCTGAGGAGATTTCTTATTCAGTGAAGTTATTATTAGCCATCCAGAACCTTCCAGAAAAAGCAGCGTATGTTGTTGTTAATTGCGAAGTCGTGTCCGACCCATCGCGACCCCATGGACAACATTCCTCCAGGTCTTCCTGTCCTCTACCATCTTCTGGAGTCCATTTAAATTCACGCCTACTGCTTCAGTGACTCCATCCAGCTATCTCATTCTCTGTCGTCCCCTTCTTCTATTGCCCTCAATCTTTCCCAGCATTAGGCTCTTCTCCAGTGAATCCTTCCTTCTCATTTGGTGGCCAAAGTACTTGAGTTTCAACTTCAGGATCTGGCCTTCTAAAGAGCAGTCGGGGTTGATCTCTTCTAGGACTGACCGGTTTGAACGCCTTGCAGTCCAAGGGACTCGCAGGAGTCTTCTCCAGCACCATAGTTCAAAGGCCTCAATTCTTTGGCGCTCAGCCTTTCTTATGGTCCAACTTTCACAGCCATACATTGCAACTGGGAAAACCATGGCCTGGACTATACGCACTTTTGTTGGCAGGGTGATGTCTCTGCTTTTTAGTATGCTGTCTAGATTTGCCATAGCTTTCCTCCCCAGGAGCAAGCGTCTTTTAATTTCTTGGCTGCAGTCCCCATCTGAGGTGATCTTGGAGCCCAGAAAAATAAAATCTGTCACTACCTCCATTTCTTCCCCATCTATTTGCCAGGAATTGAGAGGGCCGGATGCCATGATTTTGGTTTTCTTAATGTTGAGTTTCAAGCCAACTTTTGCACTCTCCTTCTTCACCCGCATCAAGAGGCTCTTTAGTTCCTCTTCACTTTCTGCCATTAGAGTGGTATCATCTGCATATCTTAGGTTGTTGATATTTCTCCCGGCAATCTTAATTCCAACTTTTGATTCATCTAGCCCTGCCTTTCTCATGATGTGCTCTGCATATAAGTTAAATAGGCAGGGCGACAGTATACAGCCTTGCCGGACTCCTTTTCCAATTTTGAACCAATCAGTGGTTCCGTGTCCAGTTCTCACTGTTGCTTCTTGACCCGCATATAGGTTTCTCAAGAGACAAATGAGATGGTCTGGTACTCCCATCTCTTTAAGAACTTGCCACAATTTGTTGTGATCCACACAATCAAAGGCTTTTGCATAGTCAATGAAGCAGAAGTAGATGTTTTTCTGGAACTCCCTAGCTTTCTCCATGATCCAGCGTATGTTGGCAATTTGATCTCTAGTTCCTCTGCCTCTTCGAAATCCTGCCTGTACTTCTGGTAGTTCTCGATCCACATACTGCTGGAGTCTAGCTTGTAGGATTTTAAGCATAACTTTACTAGCATGTGAAATGAGTGCAATGGTGCGATAGTTTGAACATTCTTTGGCATTGCCTTTCTTTGGAATTGGAATGTAAACTGACCTTTTCCAATCCTGTGGCCACTGTTGAGTTTTCCAAATTTGCTGGCAAATTGAGTGTAGCACTTTTACTGCATTGTCTTTTAAGATTTTGAATAGCTCAGCTGGAATACTGTCACCTCCACTAGCTTTGTTGTTGCTCAGATTTTCTAAGGCCCATTTCACTTCACATTCTAGGATGTCTGGTTCGAGGTCAGTGACCATCTCATTGTGGTTATCTGGGATGTTAAGCTCATTCTTGTATAGTTCTTCTGTGTAGTTTTGCCATCTCTTCTTAATCTCTTCTGCCTCTGTTAGGTCTCTGCCATTTTGGTCCTTTATCATGCCCATCTTTGCATGAAACGTTCCCTTCATATCTCCAATTTTCTTGAAGAGATCTCTGGTCCTCCCTATTCTGTTGTTTTCTTCTATTTCTTTGCACTGTTCATTTAAGAAGGCATTCTTATCTCTTCTAGCTACTCTCTGGAATTCTGCATTCAATTGGGTGTATCTTTCGCTTTCTCCTTTGCCTTTCGCTTCCCTTCTTTCCTCAACTATTTGCAAAGCTTCATGAGACAGCCATTTTGCTTTCTTGCATTTCTTTTTCTTTGGGATGATTTTAGTTGCTACCTCTTGTACAATGTTGCGAACTTCTATCCATAGTTCTTCAGGCACTCTGTCTGTCAGATCCAGTTCCTTAAATCTATTTGTCACCTCTACTGTATATTCATCAGGAATATGATTTAGTTCATACCTGAGTGGCCTAGTGCTTTTCCCTACTTTTTTCAATTTAAGCCTAAATTTTGCAACGAGAAGCTCATGATCTGAGCCACAGTCAGCTCCTGGTCTTGTTTTTACTGACTGTATAGAGCTTCTCCATCTTTGGCTGCAGAGTACATAGTCAATCTGATTTCTATGTTGACCGTCTGGTGCGTATAAATAAAAGCAAATGTAATGAATTAATCAATCAGTGTAGCAATAATTCATTATTGAGTTTTATTTTTATACTCTTGGTAAATAAAATACTCATTTCAAAATAGAATAAAACATTCTTCTTATGCACTCTCACATGATGTCAGGCCATGGTTGTCACATTCCTCATAGCCTTCTGTTCTTTCTATTTCCCCCCTATATTTTTTAAATTGTGCCCTCAAACCACAAACGGGTTGTTCATCCCTGTTTTAAGGGATTAGAGTAAACTCTACATTGACACTATAATAATTCATCCTCCCATATCTTCGGTGCTTAACATAAGACTGTGAGTGGTTTGCATTTATGTTTTTTGCCAGATGCTTGATTTTAAGAGGATCGAGTATAATGTTTATTTGTGCTCTTGGAGGCTTATAAAAGAACTGCTGTCTTGAAGAAAGTGATGTGTTTATTATTTAGTTTAGATTTGGTTGATTTATCTTGACAGTATTAAAAATTGTTTGGTGATTGTCTCCTGTCCCACCCACCTCTTCACAGCTATTTGTCTCCAGAATCACTTTCAGTGTGCCAATGGCCAGTGTATTCTCAAAAAACAGCAGTGTGACTCCTTTCCGGACTGCATTGATGGTTCTGATGAACTTTTTTGTGATAAGACACTTTTTACCGGTAAGTTGGTATTGTAAAGGCCTCCTATTGTTAATTATCTTTACACAATTTGTGTTGGGCTAACGTTCCTAGAATTCCCAGCCAACTTAGCCAACAATTAGGAAATTCTGAAGGCTTTCAGCCCAACACAACTGGAAGCTATCAGTTTTTGTAAAGGCAAGTTTGGATCCATCTTATTTTCTAAGTCTGGAAAAGCAAATATAGTTGTTTACTGTTACTGAGGGTTAATACTTCTGTCCTTGAAATGTCGTAATCTTCAATGGTGCTCTGCAGTTTTCAGAAAGCTGTCATTTTTCTTTCTTCAGATCTAGCCAAATCCACATCCTGTGAAAAAAACAGCTGTGTAAAATAAATCTATTATCAAAAGGCCAGAGCAGATGTAATTCTCTCTTGTCCGCCTAGACCTTTGGTGGCTGTTCAGATTGGCTTTAATCCCTGCATCATTTATGCTAACCATAAATGCCATTTTATGACTGTAGATAGTTTGATAATAATTCTATTTTCAGCCCTAGGACCCCTGTATGTGTTGGGGTTGAGGGGAAAAAAATACTTAGAGATAGCAACCCTCTGATAACCTCCAGAAAGTTGTAAAAGGGATTGAACTGGCTATTTTCCATTAGAGTGATTGCCACTGATAACTATGTTGCAATAGAGATCATTTTATGCAGAAAAGAGCCACAAGGGTCCTTGTAATAAAATGCTACAGATTGCAAACTAGCCTTCCCCAATTTGGTGCCTTCCAGATGCATTGGATTACAAGTTTCATTATCCCATGGTCAAGAAAGAAGACCTAAAATAATTTGGAGTATGTATTCCTTAGGCCAACTTAATATGGAAAAAAGCACAAGTTACCATGACTCAGTCACCATCAAATCCCCGATATGCCCTATGGAATTTTCATGGGAGTAAAACAAAGTAAACATTGAACAGCCTTTTGAACATTGAAAAGGACTATTGAAGTTATTAAGAGAACATGCATGAAATATTAGTTCTGTCTGAATGCTTCTTTGAATTCACTAAAGCTTGGGGGCTCTTAAGTGATGTTAGATTGATTCCAGGTTTGAGTAGACTCTTATCAGTGTGTTATAGTTGAGTTATAGTCAAAGGTGACACTTGTGGACTCTGCCAATTGACAAAGGCTGCTAAAGCAGATATTGTGAGAGTGGGAAGGTGTCACTCACAAACCAGTAAGTAACTAGTAAGTTTACTGAAAGATTCATTTATAATGAATTGTAAAAAGATGATAAAAGAGAAGGCAACATCTTGTTTACTATACTAGACAGCTGATATGAGGTGACAGGAGAAAAGTGCTTTTATGCAGAAGGAGACGGAAGTAAACTTTTAGTATTTGCTTCTTTAATACAAACTTTAATACAAACATTATTTCTAATAGGCTCCTCTCCTTCCCACTCTCATTATTTGCTGATCCTCTTGAACAAATGTACCCTTTTGGCACTGCACACATTATTAAAACTTAGTTGCTCTAACCACTTGCACAGAAAAAACAAGCACCCACAATGATTGCAGATCCATTGCACATAGGAGGTGACCCAAAGCCATCTAGGATTAGAAGTACCAATCTGCACACAATTTGCAGTAGCGGACCATAGATAGATATAAACTTTGGGGATAAAGTGGAAACTTGGAATTGTTCCTATAGTATTACATTCTATAGAGGAGAACCTTTTCAGCTAGAACCTGCAACATCAAAGATGACAATTGAACTTCAGCTTACTGGTATCTCACATAAGTAAAAAAATTACTTAAAATGTAAATCTCACCGGCCAGTTGTTAGTAACTGGAAGCCTGTGTCAAAAAGGCCCTCTGCTATTTTTACGCTAACATTTGTAGGGCTGTTAAAAAGGAGGAGATAGAGTTCTAATTTCTTGTATTTTTTTTTTTTTTTTACAGAAAAAATTAAATCCTCTGATGATTCTGGACCTCACAGTAATGCTATTGGGCCTGTGATTGGAATTATTCTTACTCTTTTCGTCATGGGAAGCATGTATTTTGTTTGCCAGCGTGTGGTTTGCCAACGTTACGCTGGGCCTAACGGACCTTTTCCACATGAATATGTCAGTGGGACCCCTCATGTCCCCTTAAATTTCATTGCTCCAGGAAGTTCTCAGCATGGGACCTTTACAGGTAATAGTAACTGTGCATCTATGTATTGCTATAATGTTCTTTAGAATTTTTTTTTACTTTGCCACATGCTAAATAACAACTGCCTGTGGTTATATGATGATCTTCATTATATTGCTCTTGCTGTGGAATCTCCGACCAAACTACTATTTTAGAATCTTCCAAAATAGAATGAAGGGCAATATTTGGAAGTGGATTCTTGCTTCCTTTGGAATGCCAGCGCTCAGAATTTGAGATCTTTTATTATTCTTTCAGCCATATCCTCTGAAGATCCTCTAGTAGTGTGCTTTGAATAGGATTGTTTGTAGATATGATGCAGAACTGTACGTATTATAGATATGTTTGCTTGTGCAGAGATCTTTTAAATTCTAATATTTAAGAAAATGTTCAAGTTTGTAGGAAGGAATTCCTACATTTGAGAATTTAAAGGGAACTTTGTATTTTTTTAAAGCTGTGTGATAAAACCAAGAAATATTCTGCAGTCCACATAGACGTCTTTTACCACAGTAATTTGCTTTGGTAAATTTCAGTGAGTATATAACTGGACTCCAGGTCATTCTTAATTTCTTCTATCCATATAGGCATCTCTTGTGGAAAATCCATGATTAGCTCCATGAGCCTAATGGGTGGAAGCAGTGGTGCCCCTCTTTATGACAGAAACCACGTCACCGGAGCTTCCTCTAGTAGTTCATCTAGTACAAAAGCCACATTTTATCCACAGGTAAATGTTGAAAATTGTATAAGTCATATTGCAATTAGGATGTCAGTTCCTATTAGCTCTGCTTGCACAAACATGAAATTTGAATCAATTAGTCTTAAAGAAAGATTGGGCTCAAAGACCCCCAGTTTACTCTCAGTCAGCCATGACATGCCAATAGCTGTTGGGAGCTGGAGAACGGTTCTCTGTTTCTCATATGTACCTAACCTGAACATTTATATTTAAGCAAATGCACCTCTGATGGCACTCCTGGAACGGACTATGGCAAGGGTAGGCAACCTTGGCTCTTTTATGACTCGTGGACTTCAACTCCCAGAATTCCTGAGCCAGCCATTAGAAAAACATCTGGATTTGAAACAGATTCTCGTAGTATGGCCTTTAGATTATTACCCAAAGAAAGCACAGAAGGCCAACTTGTCCTCAGGCATCTAAAATGATTTCATTGATGGAAATAGATCCCATTGGACATCATTTAACTATTTCATTTTACATTCACACAGATTTTGAATCCACCACCTTCACCAGCTACAGATCGCTCCCTTTATAACACAGAAATGTTTTATTCTTCAAACATTCCATCAACAACAAGGTCTTACAGGTAATGGCTTTCAAAATCATTTGGCAGATTCTTTAACTCTTAGTTTTTAAATGTCTGCTTTTTACTTTGCGTATATAGCAGCTTTGGATATAAAAGTAAAAACTTTCTTTTTCTAATAAAATTGCTCCAGTTGTCAGCTTTGTACAGTGGTGGATTGGTGGAATCTTCGAACTGGGAAATAAGGTTTCAGGATTAGACTTAACTTTGACATGCATTTTTAGACTGCTCAGAAAAACACGAGTACCAAGGACCCCAGTATGGAGGTCCTTGGTGCTCTCTCTACTTGGTTGCTTCATTACCCATGCTAGGTAACATCATCAGTGCTAATAAGGAGTGGGGTTTACTCTCAGATTATATTCTAGTGCAGGGGTCTCCAACCCCCGGTCCGTGGACCAGTACTGGGCTGCAGCATGCCAGTAACCGGTCCACATAAACAAAGCCCCATCCATGGGAAGCACTCTCCGGTCCACAGAAAAATCTTTCTCCATGGAATTGGTCCCTGGTGCCCAAAAGGTTGGGGACCTCTGTTCTAGTGACTTGTCCTGCCAGCATGGATAGGAATGATTTCGGAGGTTCTTTGGGTGGGTTGTTTACTATTAGCTTCTTTGGCAGTTCATTGATTGGCGTATGTTATTTACTTCTTGATGTTAAGCTTGCTATTAATCTATGCTTCTCTGGATATTGATTACTGTTGAGGAGGTATTTGGGGGATTTGTTATTCCCTTTTTGGCTTGCTGATTGTCTCCTTTGCACCATATGTAGATGTTGTCTATGCCTGTGTGTCTGTTGATGGTTAATTTGCTGCAGATAAAAAGAAATGGAAAGTCTCCAATTTCTGTCCTTTCTCAGTGTGCAGAATTTTTCTATAATGCTATTAATGTGTATTTTGTATTTTAGACCCTATCTTATCAGAGGGATTGCTCCACCGACTACCCCCTGCAGCACAGATGTATGTGACAGTGACTACACCACAAGTCGGTGGAAAGCCAACAAATACTACATCGACTTAAATTCAGACTCAGATCCTTATCCCCCTCCTCCTACTCCTCGCAGCCAGTATATGTCAGCAGAAGAAAGCTGCCCACCATCTCCAGCTACTGAGCGGAGCTACTTCCACCTCTATCCCCCTCCTCCATCTCCTTGCACAGACTCTTCATGATTTTAACAGAAGGGACTTGTCTTTTTCTGTAAATACGTTTTTAAATATGAACAAAGATTTTAAATATATATTTTATGATCTAAAATGGGGTGGGAACTTATAAAAATGTGAATAAAAATGAATGGGCCTGGGCTGTGAAAATTGTACAGCAAAGTGATATTTATGTTGATTTTTTTAATTTAATAATCCATTCTTTTGTGCCATAATTTGCCTTTGCATTGAAGTCACAACGTTTAAATTGACCTCCAAAGGAGGTGAGAAGCAGAAAATAATATGCTTGGAACATTTTGAAATCATTTTTTTTGGTTCAATAAAGGGAAATGTGCCACGTTATTTTAAGTAATATAAAAGGCAAGAAGAAGTATGTATGAATGAATGGTGATGTTATTTGAAATACACACAAGGGAAATTCCTCTGTGTCTATGTGTTTGTGTGTGTGTGTCTCTGTGTGTATGGATTAATACTTGATCCTTAGGTACTTAACCACAAAAATGGGCTTCCTCTTAAAATGCTTTCTCTTGTTTTATTCCATCATTCACTTTCCAAGAGAGTCAGTGCATAAAAAAATGGATTTCTGGAATACGTGTTAGATTTATTACATTATTCATCATGAACTACTTCTCCCCAAATTAAAATAACCATTCAGTCCTGTTAGACACATCACACTTCCATTACGAGTCTGTTGAATTCAAGGCACTGCTTCATGTTTTATCTTTCTCTAAAGGCCCCCAATACAGCTCAGGAGATTTCGTGGTGAGAGAAGGGAGGAAAGGAGGTAGAGGTCATGATAGAAATAGGAATGGAAAGTGGGAACAAAATAATGAATCAATTTTCTGAAAGATTAAAATAGTTTAGAAAAATGTAATCCCTCAAACTCTCTTTTTCTTTCAAATCCAGTGAAAATTCCTAAAAAAAATTTATAAAAATTAAAACACATTTCACCAATTAAAAACAGTTTATAAAGAGTTCCCTGAATAGCAAAACTATGTACAATTTCCAAATTGATGCATTTGGATATTTCTTGAATAGGCATCTACCGAGGCCCCTGGTTGTACAGGAAAAAAAAACACCTTTTCTCATTTTAAAACATAACATGCACTGCCACCATATTTTCCATTGGATAAGAGTCCAAATTTTACCCTCTCTAAACTTCTATATATAATATTAGAGAGAACATAGGAGTCAGGATCGGCATGATTTAGTAAAAGATCATTTATTTGGAACAAAAACCCAGAAAGAAAGGTGCTTTTCATCACGCGTCAGGAAGAAAAATCGCAACACGTCTTGCATTACTGACTGTACTTGTGCTTTGGTTTGATTGCCTCACACAGAATGTTTAAAAGCTTGTAGGATTAGGAGACTGTGATGTGAACAAATAACGAAATATGTTTGGAAAAAGAGGGGAAAGCCAAAATTACAGTGTGTTTTCACAGCTGCATAACAGCAGGTGCAGCCGGCTTTTTGACAGTTATAGAATCATTGACAAAGATGAAATTTGTTGGGTTTTTTTACATTTATAGCTGGGTTTCTAGCAAGTATTTCTGGCCAAGTGTGAGGTGAGACTCCTCCAACCCCTGGCCACTTTTTCCAAGCTTATTAACAGGGTGGAGATTGATCTCTGTTATTTCTGAGTACATTCCCATCAGTCTATTCCTAATAGTTTGGATATGGTGGTTTAATTCTGAGGAGCTGCAGTTAGGATCTTTGAGTACAGGAGAATCACTTCTGATCTCTCAAGAAATTTGTATTTTACAGTCATGCCAATTTACTTTTCTTTCCAGTTTAATATGGGAGATAAAAAAAATAGAATTAATTATTTGTATGCAAAAATATCCTACTCCTGAATACTTTGGGAGGTCAAAGTTGTTTGGGTGTATTGCCTGTGTGTCTAGCACAAAAATAGTCCATAATAATACATCTAGAATGTTCAGGTAAAAATCATAACATACTATTTATTTATTTTTTTAATTGACAATTTTTAGGTTTTACAAAAAGAAAAGATTCCCCTCCCCCACACCCTCCCACCCCTCCCCTACCCTCCCCCAATCTTCCCAGAGCTGAATACAGGCTTAATTAAAAAAAAAATTAAAAAAAAATCTTGAAACACTTATAAACCATAAACAAATCTAAATACGTTAATTAAACAAATTATAAAATAATTAACAACAATATATAAAAAAATACAAGAAGAAAGAAAAGAAAAAACAGAAAAATAAAAAATAAAAAAAGAAAAGAAAATATCTAAGAAATATCTTAAACTTTAATTATAAATTATTCAAAAACTAAGTAATATTTTTTATATCCAACTTATATTGTATGAAATCTATCCATCTTTTCCATACCAGGAGATACTTCTCCTGCGATTGATCTTTCAAGAAAGCCGAAATCTTTGCCATTTCCACCAAATAAGAAACTTTAAAAAACCATTCTTGCAATGTAGGCAAAGATTCCTTCTTCCAACATTGCCCTACTAACAACCTGGCCGCTGTAATTAAATTTAACATCAATATAATCTCTTTACTGTCACAATCAGAAACAATACCTAACAAAAACAATTGTGAGGTAAATTTTATCCTTCTTCTGAAAATTCTTTGAATATTCCACCATATTTTAATCCAAAAAGCTTTTATATTTTTACATAACCACCAGATATGGTAATAAGTAGCATCCAAACATCCACATCTCCAACATTTAGGCTGCAAGTCAGGATACATACGAGACATTTTTTGTGGATCAAGGTGCCATCTATAAAACATTTTATAAAAGTTTTCCCTTAAATTTTGGGCTTGTGTAAATTTAACATTCCTCACCCAAATTATCTCCCAGGTATCTAATAAAACCGGTTCCTCAAAGTTTTGTGCCATTTAACCATACATTCTTTGACTAATTCTGCTTCTGAATCCAACTCTACTAACACCCCGTAAATTCTCTTAATGTGAGTTCGTCTTTGATCTTTTATTTGTTTTAACAAATTCTCATCTTCTCTAAGCAAACCCAAATTACGATCTATCTTCCACCTCTCTACTATTTGTCTATACTGAAACCATGAATAAATAATATTTTCTTGTGTTAAATCTTCCAGAGATTTTAATTGCCAATTTTTACCATCCCATCTAAGTAATTGTGCATAAGAAACACTATCCATCTTGACTCCTCTCCTTATCCAACATACTATTTTTTTTAAAAAAAAATCTAGTCACTCAAATTGGGTGTTAGGTAATAAAGTCAGATTCTTCTAATTCTAGGATTCCATTTCTAGCTGAGTTACAAATAAAGCTTGTACATAACGTGTGTGTGTGTGTACATACACATACATAATTGTTGAGAGATTTGCATCCACTAATTTGATTGTTTTATAATTGCTTTTAAACTTTTGTCTAGCATTTATAAAAAGATACCGTTTAATTCTTAATATTATATGCTTTGATTTACCATTGCCAGGATTCTGTTGTCTAAAATGCACTGCACATTAAAATGTGAATGAATAGTTTATCTTTTAAAAGAAAAATAAATAAGCATTGATAATATTAACTTGCCTGCTGAAAAAATTGTTCTGTATTCAGAGGTGAATTGGATGCTTTAAGCAGTGAAAAAATAACTAGTGCTACTGATGTGAACAAAGTACTATAATATTTATGGCTATAATACTGAATATTTTTATTTTGCTTGCTATTGTAAATCTGTGTTAATCAGGAAAATTAAATATCCTGCTTTCTTGATTAACATGTTAATTGGGAAACATCCCACCAAATTATCAAAATCTGCACAACTGGAATTGTTGTAGAATTGATTGAAGACAGAAATATTTTACCAGGAAATAATTGTCACATTTTCATTACTTCAGGTTATTTCTCTCTCTATAATCTAGAATTTTAGCTAAAATATCTGATATCAGTATTATTCTGGGCTATGATATTTTCCATTTCTTTTTTGACATAGGTCTGAATCACCTAAAAAACTACACTGTGAGCTTGGTTGTTGCTTGCAGACGATTCATTACCAAGGAGAAAACCACATTCCCACCAACATTGGCAGGGCAAGCTACTGAATATAAACAGAGAGCAAACCCCACTAGCACTGATAATATTATCTAGTCAGGTAATGAAATGTCTGCATGCTCAGAGAGCACAAAGTACTTCACAGTTAAGTTCTCTTCTGTTGGAAAAAAAGATACAGTTTACCAAATCATGAATAAGTAAGGATATTGATTATAATTTTTACAAGCTATTTTGAAATGATACCACTCAAACTGTTGATTGTAATTTTGGCTTTCAAGAGCCCTCCTAATCTGGGATCATTGGCCATGTTGCCAAAGAGTTACAAATGATTTCAAACTGGGGATGTCTAGCAAACTGACACTTTTTGGATCTCATTTTTTAAGCCATAGTTTGCTTAGCTGGACTGAATAAACTACAGTTGCTAGGTTTATGCTTGGCCAGAACCAAATCAGATTATGACTTAGTCCCATGAGTATGAATCCTATCTTTATATTCTAAATACAATACATATGAATATATATGTAAATGTAACTGATTGGCTTTAAGGAGCAAGTAACTCTTATTCAGGTGTAGCCATAGTGCAGTGTCAAAGGTTAACTTTCTTATTATTAGCTTTCCTTGATTAATGGCTATGTGTGGCATGTCATTACCCTAGGGAGATTGTTTTGAATGTTTTATCTCTTCAAAAATGATTGTTAATGTTGGTGAAATCTTAAGTAGCATATTTTTTCCGGCCAGACTGGGTTTTACTGTATAGAAAGATACCGGATTGGATACCTGATCCCTGAAGGTGATGTTTGTTTGAGTCCAATTAAATCCATCTTCATGAACATTAGTTTTTAGAATCCATAATTTACTGAAAGTAGTTATTGATTTGGACCTGAGAGCGAGCCTGCTCTTAGCAATTAACATATTAGGACAACTAAGTCTTTTTGAAAGGAAATGCTGGTTTTAGCATACAACATAGCAAAAGTCTTCATCTGAAAAATATTTAAAGCACCTTTAGATATGGAGCTAAGTTCCCGGGAAGTTTCCTTTGCCAACTTGTATGTGTGGATGTGAGTGGGTGGGTGGGGTATTGGATGGAAAGCAGAATGTGGTGTCAAAATTTAATTTGTAAAATTATATTTGTTGAAAATATTTTGTAAATAATGTAATTGAACTATTTGCAATTAAGGGGAAAACAATCGATTTTATTAAATAATGAATAAGAACTATTGGGCCTGGAATAAAATGGAGCAAAATTAGGCTTGCCAAGTTACAAGCTTGTGATTCCTCCTTCACTTTTGAGCCTATTGAGCTCAGCTAGAGGAAAAGTCAGCTAACAGCTTTTCCAAATTATTCCCCCCACCTCAGAGCCTATTATATATCTACTTTTTGTGTTGTGGAATACATATTTCACTGTTCACATTAAATCATAGACTTTTTAAATAAACCGCTGATTTTACAGAACACTAAGCTATAAACTATTATTTAACAAATCATAATGGTTCACACATCGCAGTAAACCAAACCTAACCACCTTATGGGCTATTGCAATATGTGAACTTTCCTATAGGATCTTCTTGGTTATTGCACTAAGAATGAGGGAAGCAGAATAACCAATTATGGAAAAGTGATGGGGGGGGGCAGGAATAGGAGAAGCAGTAGCTGGTTCATCCCAGTTTGGTGGGAACATGAAAGGGGAGGATCATGGGATGCAACCTGGCAACTTAACATTTTTAAGTGGGTTATGCTTTACTGTTATGTACGTAACTCGGAGGGCATTCTAATTAAAAATGAAACCCAGGCCGCTTTCTGTATTGTATCTAAGTATTTTGCAGTTGCTGCTAATGTAATGTAAATGTACATGAAAATCTGCAGATATTGCCAAGAATTGTTATAATAGACTCATGCTGATCTGTTTTATATTTATATTGTAAAGTGTATTCTGCAAACCTCCTAAATACTTTAGCTTTATATTCATATACTGTTTTGTAGACACAGTTTGTCACACACAGAAAAAGTGCCTTTGGTCTTTTTAAACAGCCTAGCATATTGACTTAGGCAGATGATAACAAAGCCTTAAAAAGGAAGCAACCTTTTACTCATTTGCTCCATTTGTTAGTTTTTCATCAAGCATGGTGTTGCAAATATGTATTGTGTTCAACTCATTCCAAGTTAAGGCATTCACAGGATGGTGGGACTAAGCTTGTTTGTATATGTTAATGCAACGTCACTAATTATGTGATTTTACAGAGAGTTGTGCTTGTTTTTTTTTTTTTTTTTAAGAAAATATTTCAGAAAAATCTGGGAAACATTTTTACCCAGAAATTACAAAATTGGGAGCTTTAAGACACCCAATGTGCTCCTTTTCATTTCACTGTTTATATTTTATGGATGCTAAATATGCTATTGGTATAAATTTTTTGTAAAATTATGTAACAAAATTTGTTATTAAATTAGATTAATGTACTTTCCTAAGGACTGGAATCCCATTTGATTTTTACTATGTTATTAACATTTATATCATCAGCACAAGGTTTACCAGAATCACTATTTTGAATGTTAATTGGGCAGCTGAAAACAGCCTTTTTCATATTAATGTCCAGTATACACCAGGATATACACCTTTGCCAACAATAAAACAGAGCCCAATATTTGTTCATCTTTTTAATTTTACAGAGTGAAAAAAGCATAGTTTTAATGCCCTGGGAATAAAAATTGTGTGTATCTTTGGCTGAGTCATACACTTTGAAAAGAAGTCAATTTTTGACTTTGCAACTTGTAGTTCCATATAACTAATACTAGGTTTTTATTTTGGCTTCAATATAAAATATCTAAACAAATGAGAATGGGGTGTGGGGTTTTAATTTTTAATATAAATGTCTTGCTTTTAGAATTCAGTTTTAACTTGGAGTACATTGCTTTTCATTGCTTTCCAGTTTTATGCTTCTGAAGTTTAGATATAACAATGAAAGTCATGAATATATTACATAAGCAGGAAGATATACTGA